GACACTTCTAGAAGTAGTTTCATGTAACAATGATACTTCCGTAAAATACAGTAATTAGATATCATTTTTACCATACTGAAATATAATGTCCGTCCCGATTTTACTCCATAGTAAATTTGGAACAGAAACAGCAATCATCGATTTCTTACTAAGAGTTATTTGAATTCTCTTGACACACTACACACCTATTTACATATGTCTCTATATCATAAGAAATTCCTGGCCAGAATAACACTTGACGTGCGCGTCTTATACAGCGGTCTATCCCTAAATGCCTATTATGTATGACTTTTAACATTTCGGTTCTTAAGGAACTGGGAATAAATATTTGTTTGTTTTTAAATATAACGCCATCTACACAAAATAGATAGATAGATAGATAGATAGATAATTCTTTATTGTACACCAAATCAATACATAAACGAAAGAAAAAGAAAAAAAAAATAGTGACACAATGGGCGGTCTTATCGCTAAAAGCGATTTCTTCCAGACAACCTTTGGATGGACAGGATTACAAAAAGCAGAAAATTGTGTGGTTTGGTGATGCAGAGACAATATTTATAAAGATTGAATTATAATATATAGAAATAAATAACAAATAAAGACATAAAATACGAATGCATACATATATAGATGGCACGAATTCAAAGGTTAAGATAGTGGTTGTGTACAAGCTTCTGAAAAACAGATAAAGATTGGGCGCGTCTCACTGACAGAGGTAGGGCATTCCATAGACGGACTGCTTGGACAGTAAACGACCTGTCCAAAAATTTGGTATTATGGGCAGGCATTTTTAATGTAAAATTTTCTGATGATCTCAAAACCTTCGAATGGGAATAGTGAAGGAATTCAAAGCGATCCTCAAGATAAGAAGGATAGGAAGGATTAAATAGAACATTGTAAAGAAGTGACAGAATATGAGCATTCCGGCGAAGACGAATAGGAAGCCACTTGATCTTATTACGAAAACAAGAAACATGATCATACTTGCGCAAACCAAATATGAATCTTATACAAAAATTTTGAAGACGCTCAAGTTTATCAAGTTGCTTTTCGGTGAGATCAAGATAGCTGACATCTGCATAGTCCAGAATCGGGAGAAGCAGAGATTGTGCAAGCGCAATTTTAGTGGCAGTAGGCAGAAAGTTCCTTAATCTGTTCAATGATCGAGCAGCTGCAAAGAGTTTACGACTAACTTCCTGTATTTGAGGACCCCATGATAGGTTACTGTCAATATAAATTCCCAAGTCTTTGACTTTTTCACTAAGAGGAATAAAATTTCCATCAAAAACAACTTGAGGTGCTTGAGAAAGGTTTGATTTCCCAATCATATTCGAACTTCTGATTACAATTACCTGAGTCTTTAGAGGGTTAATCTTTAAGCCATATGTTTTTGCCCAATCTGATATTTGCTCAAGGTCACTATTTATAGTACTAATAGCTACATGTAGTTCACTAGGAGAAACATGAGTATATATTTGAAGATCATCTGCGTATAGGTGGTAGGAAGAAGTAATCTTAGTAGCTATAGAATTAATAAAAATTGAAAAAAGTAAGGGAGATAATACGCCACCCTGCGGGACACCAGCAATGATATCACACCAAGAAGAAAATGTGTCATCAATGCGAATACATTGCCGGCGCCCAGACAGGTAACTTTGAAACCAACCAATCACTGTTGGAGATATGTTAAGAGAACCAAGTATACCCAGTAAAATTTCAAAATCAATTGAATTAAAGGCATTGCTAAAATCTAACAGAGAAAGGATAGTTAATTTGCCATTTTCCATGGCAGATCTTATATCTTCCGCAATATTGACTAAGGCTGTGACAGTACTATGCCCAGGACGAAAACATGATTGTAGAGGATTTAGAAGGGAATTATTTCGAAGGAAAGCACTGAGCTGATTATATACCAGGCGTTCGAGAACTTTGGATAGGAATGGCAATATAGATATAGGACGATATTCCGAAAAAGATGTAGGGTTGGGCTTTTTAGGCAACGGTATTATGTGAGCGTCTTTCCAAGTTGATGGAAAAACACCACAAGAAATGGAGGAGTTGAGGATATGGCAAAGTATTGGGATGATTATGTCAAGAACCGGAAGGATCATATTACGGCTGATACAGTCGCTGCCAATTGCATTTGAAGTAATGGATAGAATACTCTTCTTAACATCACAAGCAGAGAATTGATTTAGAACAAAAGATGAATGATCAGGAGTTGGAAGCGATGAAAGAAAATTTAATGTGTTCAATTTTGTAGCTCCATTTAAGTTGGAGGAGGATGAGAAGTGATGATTTAGTAAATCAATATTTAAGTCTTTAGAGAGTACAATATTACGGGACTTTCCAACCCCCATTGATCTAAGAAAACTCCAGACTTTAGCTGAATCACCAATTTGTACCGATTTATGGATATAGTGGCGTTGAGCATCCCTACACACCCTATTGCAGTGATTTCGAATACTAACATATTTTCCCCAGTTTATAGATGTAGGCTTACATTTATATTTTGTCTTGGCTGCAGCTTTTTTATTTAAAATGGTTTTTATTTCATCAGTCAGCCATGGTGAAGGAAGATGTCTCATTTTAATTACGCGAACTGGTGCATGTTTATCATAAAGACAGGTTAATTTAGTCGTAAATATTGCAACTTTATCGTCAATAGAATCTGCACTTAAAACGGCTGACCAATAAATGTTGGAAGCATCTTTGCAGAGATTTTCAACATTCATACTACGGAAACTGCGTTGCAAAAGGAATTTAGACTTAAGTTTAGGTGGCCGGACATTATAAGAGAGAAATATAAGATCATGGTAAGAGAAGGCATCGGCTGGACACTGACCATGCTTAACAGCGAAGTCAGAAGAGGACACAAAAATAAGGTCAAGCAATGACGGAGTAGCATTAGGGAAGTGATGAGTAGAATTTAAAGGTAAAATAGAGAGATTAGTGGAATTTACGATGGATCGAAGAGAGGATGAACGAGAGTCTTGTTTAAGCAGACAAGTATTAAAGTCGCCCATAATGATCGTGTGCGAGTAGGAAGATACATTTTCTAAAATATTTTCGAAGGAAGTGAAGAAGTCGATACGAGATGAAGGACAGTAATATACACCCAGAAGAATTTTAGTATGACTAAGCTCCACCTCAATAAAAAGATGTTCACCTGCATTAGGCGGAGATGGTTGAGATGACATATCAACAACAGAAAAGGGAATATACGCTCGGAGATATATTGCCACACCACCACCACCGCCCACAGTACGATCATTTCTTATGAGATGAAAGCCAGGTAAAGAATAATTAGTGGAAGGGAGACAAGGTTTAAGCCATGACTCAGAAACGAGAATAGCATGAATATCCTTAGAGTCAAAGGTAGCCAGCATATCTGAAAAGTGAGCCGGAATGCTTTGGGCATTTATGTGAACAACGTTGAAATTTTTGGGAACATCAGAAAATTGTGAAGCTAGTATTTCAGAGAGAGGCTGTAAGCTAGGGACACTGTCACCATCACTATCTGTGGTTAAATATGTTTCAGTATCACTACTAATGTCTAAATAAGACATTACAAAATAAAAATTTATATCTATATAAAATAAAATAAAATATAACGTATAATAAATACAATACTATAAAAAAAAAGTTAATAAATTTTCTTAAACTAAAAACAAATAAATAAAAAATACTTTAGTGTCCACCTGCCAGTTGAGTGTTTCGATAAATTATCTGTACAACACTTAAACAATAAATGGAAATAAAAAATTAGTTTAATAATGAACTTCTTATTAAAGTAGGATTAAGTGAAAGAAAAAAAAACAATAAGGGTGCATAAAATAAACACCGTTAAGGGAAACGCAACGGTCAGTGCGTTATTTAGCATTATTGTTATAGTGCAACATAACCTTGAAATTGTGATTTTTGTGTTAACGTTAACTGTAGTATTCAGAACAAAAACTAATGACATATATGCATTTTACAATATTTCACATTGTCAATTTTTAAGTATACAGATGTTTTGGTATAATAAATGGAAAGAGGGGTTCATAATTATTATGCTTATTTTATGTACATTCAATGGTAAAAAAAAAAATTGCACTAAAGTTAAAGTTACAAGTTAAAGTTAAAGGCACAAACCTCCTCGAATTTATCAGAGTGTTTTGCACTAAGCTTACACTAAATACTCAAAGAAATAAGTCACACAAGCTATTAATTGTAATTATATAACATTAAGAGAGAAAAAAAAAGACAATATTTAGGTATGGCAAATCCTGTACACTTAACACTTCTTCACGGCGGCGTTTCGCTTGGGCTTCCCAGCTGCAGTTTTCGATACTGGTTTTGGGCTTGTCTGGCACTCAATTTTGCTGATGTCATTCAGACTAGTTATACGATGTCTGGTTCCATCAGGTTTTGCAACGTACACAGATCCATCTTTAGTCCAGCATTTGGAAATACCAAATTTTTCACGGGCAGCTACAAAAATATCATGCCGAAGCTTGGTGAGAAATTCGGATACTGTGACTCCGGAGCCTTTAAGTTGGGATTTTCCGTACCAGACTTTATCACGCAACCCTACATCTAAGAATTTCACTAAAATGGGTCGAGACTTGTGAGGAGCTGTTGGTCTACCCAATCTGTGACAACGCTTAATATCACTGACAGAGACGTTAGCTAATTTCAACTGATTTTGCAGAACCTTGATGACAGCCAAATCGGTGTTTTCTTTTGCAATCTCTGGAACACCATGAAGCAGTAACATTTTCCTTCGGCTTCGCATCTCCATGCTATCAGCATTACGAGCAAGTAACTCCATCTGCTGCTGAAGACTGTTTAGTGCCTGCACTACAAACGTCTTGAAAGATGCAAACTCAGCTGCCAGAAAGGTAGTACTGGTAGATGTGCTGGGCGTTTTCCGCAATTCTTCCTCAAAAACATCCATCCTGTTATGAAACACCTCCATCAAACTGGACAGAGTGTTTTTAATTGTTGAGTCCATGGTATAGTGACGAATTGAGAGAGGTTATAAAAGTAAAAAAAGTGTTGTAATTGTGGTTGGATTAAGTAGTAAACACTCACAGACAGGTAGTTTAAGCTAACTTTTCATTACTAGCACTTGATATATAATATTTTACGAATTATGTATTAATTTTAATAATAACTTGAGAGATAACAATTTTACGTGTAAATAAATCTCCTCTCATAAACTAATAATAATAAAATTTAAAATTATCTTCAATATCTAGACCAATAATATTTTAATTTATCTACAATACCTCGTTTATATTCCGGCCAACCCTGATTTATATATATCATTAAATGTTTTAAGTTATTATATTTTAAAGTCTCATTTTTATTTACACTTAATTTTTGTTTATGTGAAACGGACATGTTAGAAACTACCATATGTACTTGATATAATACATTATCACTCACTTTATAATTATATAGTTCTGGAAGCCCCTAGCACGTGATAATGTATCGGCCAAGTACATATATTTTCCAGGCTATAAAAACCCGCGTAAAAGAACTCATAGCTGACGTGAAGCACCAACGTTCCTCGAAGTCTGCAGTTTGTGATCATATCCTAGACGGCCCCCGCCATTACATTAGATTTGATAAACCACAAATTCTCGCGAAAGAACATCAATTCCTGCCAAGGATGATACGTGAGGCTATTGAAATTAAAAAACATCCTAATTTCAATAGAGAGGGAGGCTGGGTACTACCACCTGCTTGGGATCCTGTAATTCATAAAATTAAAACTAAACCCAAGAATACCACTGCAAGACTTCAAGACACAGTTAGTTCATTCTGCGTAGATCGGACCAAAATTATTAATTAAAATAGGCTGAAGGTACTGCGGTTTAACACTGACATCGGGACGTCAATCACCTCAGTCCCCCGTGACCACGGTTGCTGGAAAGCAACCGAAACGTCGTGAATATAAAATAAGTTAATTAAACGCGATAAAATCCGTAAAAATAGTTTTATTCAAACTATTTTTACATTTGCACATCCTAGCGTAAAGGCCATAGTTACCGCACACATACGCATTTCACCGAAATAGCTGGACATGAACCTACATTAGTAGACTGAGCACCACAACGTGGACAAGGCGACGCCAGGGTCCCGCCGTGCGCACATCGTGCGTCGCGCCCGTCACCGCGCCCGCCGCTGTGCCCGCCGCTGCGACCGTCGCCGCGCCCACCGCCGCGCCCGCCGCCGCGCCCGACGCCGCGCCCGCCGCCGCGCCCGCAGCCGCGCCCACCGCCGCGCCCGCCGCCGCGCCCGCCGCCGCGCCCGCCGCCGTGCCCGCCGCCGCGCCCGCTGCCGCGCCCGCCGCCGCGCCCGCCGCCGTGCCCGCCGCCGCGCCCGCCGCCGCGCCCGCCGCCGCGCCCGCCGCCGCGCCCGCCGCCGCGCCCGCCGCCGTGCCCGCCGCCGCGCCCGCCGCCGCGCCCGCCGCCGCGCCCGCCGCCGTGCCCGCCGTTGCGCCCGCCGCCGCACCCGACACCGCACCACCCGATACCGCGCCGCCCGCCGCCGCGCACCGATAGCGCCTTAGGCCTCTGCCTCAAATTTTGCGGGCAGCGGGGCGGCGGCGGCGGCGGCGTGGGAGCGGGGCGGCCAACGCAGACCCGTTGTCGAAACCAGCGGGCAGATCGCGCGACATTATAGCGGCGTAGTGATGTGTTCATAGTTGTGTTGTCGAGATATTTGTTTTTATTCGCGAACGAAATGTCTGAACAAGGGCGACAACATCTTTTTGATTCAAATTTATTTCTAACCCTCGATTTATTGTGGGCAAAAGAAGTAAATCCCCACTATAGGACAAGGAAAAAATAAGGCGAGTTTTATCGAAATTACGATATCGAAGTACGATGATTAGTTATTTCTACAACCACAGATTTGTTATTATTTGACAGTATTTTTTATTATAAGGTTGATATACCTAGTGTTGAGTATTGTACTCATACATATATGATTCATTAGAAGGGTACATGCCTTCATTTACACTTAACTTTTCTAGAAGATCTCGATAATTTTTTGTCTCACTCTAAACTTTTGTATAGGCGTGAATTTTTTCATTTGTGGAAGCAAACTCATTAAAAGTAGTAGTCTCAAATAAATTTGCTCTTGCACGTCCGGGGACATTTCGACACGTCATAAAAATAAATTGCACAACACTGCAATACAGACGCGCGGGCGATCACCGCTTGACTGGAGTGCACCGCTCGTTGCCCACCCCCGCGCCGCTGTCGCGCCGCTGTTTTCGAGGGTCGGTCCATTTGATTTTACGCATAAGATCCTGCCGCTCCCGCGCCGCCGCCGCCGTCACCCCGCTGCCCGCAAGATTCGAGGCAGAGGACTTAACGCGCACGGGCCCGCAGCTCGCCGAACTGCCGTAGCTACTTGTTTCAATCACACGCTTACTGTCTATTGACATTTCATCCATCTGACATACTTTAATTGCTTTCTCCAAAGTTAATTCATATAATAATCCGTAATAACTGGTCCCTTACAATTGTGCTCCTTATGCCGCACAAAATACGGTCGTGAATCAACTCTTGCTCTAAAATTTTAAATTCACCATTTTTACTGAGTAACTCTAACACTGTTACATATTGAACAAGATATTCTCCAGTTATCAGAGGCATCTAGAACCTCGTAAAAAATTATATCTTAGTAATATTATATTAGATTGAACACCGAAATACTCGTCAATATTTTTTATCAATATTTCGATGTCCTCACGCTGCTCTTCTCAATCGAATGTAAAAGTCGTAAACATCAAATCCATCTCATCCAATCATATTAACTATCTTAGTGCACCCCCGATGCTTTAAGAAAAAAATTCAACTGTGCCTTCCACCTCTTCCATGCGTCAGCCCGGCCGACGGGGCTGCCATCTAAACACAATTCGGTTGGCGGTCTTGCATGCTCCAAACCTAACCTAACCTAACACTTAATTTAGAATACAAATTAACGTTATTTAAACGTAAAATCCAAAACTATTTAGGTATTTTAACCGCTGCCACCATGTAGTGACAATGAATCAATGGAGTTCCGATAACAACTGATTTTATTAATAAAGGCGGTTTCCTAATAAAGAATATTTTAAGACTACCCTCAACAACCTAGTCGGACTATTTGTCCCAGGTAAACATACTCGTCAACAACTTCGAGCTAAATACTCCCAACAACTACCGGCATGGGTGTGACATGAACGGTACACATGATCTTTGTTTTGTCCATGTTCATATTCAGAACTATCTGTTGGGAGGCACTATTGAGGTCACTGAGAATAATGCTTAAGTCCTCCAGCAGTTCTGCCAAAAGGACTGTATCGTGGACAAATTGACGGTGAGTGATGTACTGGTAATTGATGTATGTTAATACCGTATCGTTTACAGTCCAATAACTTGAAAACTCCGATATACCGACAGTCAACTTGGCACCGCTGAAGGGAGTGCAGCATCACCCAAATTTCGATGAAATGAAAGGCTTTCTCATAATCCACATACGCAAGTCAAGTGGCTGATTGCAATGTTCGCTTTTCTGTACAAATTACCGAAGAGTATATATATATTTATATTATTTGACGGCTCCGTGGCGCAGTGGCTTAGCAATGAGCTGTTGCGCTGGGGGCTGCGGGTTCAAATCCCGCAGGAACGGAACATAGTATTTGTATGGCCTACAAGTAATTGTTCCGGGTCTGGATGACTGTCCTCGTGCAATTTATGTTTGTAAACTGCCTCCACGACACAGGAGAAAATCCTAGTGTGGGGGTAACGTTTTTTTTTTAAAAAAGAATTAAAAAAAATATGGTCTATAGTACTAAAGCCTTTTCGGCTTGTTCGGGAGGCTGGAAGTCGTCAAGTAAGCAGGAGTGCTACCGGGCCTGTGCTGACGCATCAACGTGTCGGGATGGAAACATCAGCGCTCTTAAAAAGAAGTGTAATTCCGCCTCCAGGTATTTCATTGCCAAGGCAAAGTCAGAACATAAACACTCACGCCTGTCACCCAGAGGGGTAGGCAGAGATTATGAACTTCCATTTGGCACGATCCTGACACACCTCTCTCGCTACCTCCACATCCATATACCTACGCATACACGCTCGTCGGTTAAAGGTACTCTTGATTTGGCCCATTTTTAATATATCGCCAATTTGGTCGATAAACTTTCGCCTAGGGCGACCTTTCCCGACTATGCCGTTCACCTCTGCAACATAAATTTGCTTTGTCACTCTTTCCTCATTCATTCTTTCTACATGGCCAAACCACCGAAGCATTCCTTTCTTAATCCTGGTCACAACATCATATTGCAAACCACCCTCTTCTCTTATTAAACAATTTCTCACTCTGTCATTCAGATTCATCCCTAACATACTCCTTAATGACCGCATTTCTACACCATTTATTCTACTCTCGTGCTTCTTCTGCCATACCCAACTTTCACTACCATACATTAAAGTAGGCACTAACACAGCATTGTGAATTGCCATACGTGCCTTTTTGGACAAATTCTGACTTTTCACAATAGAGTGTAGAGCCCCATTCACTCTATTTCCTGCATTCACTCGTCGTTCTATATCCTTATCATATCTACCATCCCTGCTAAACACACATCCCAAATATACAAACTCATCTACTTGCTCTACCAACTCCCCTTCTATTCTTATTTCACATATCGTTTTACTTTCTTCTCTTTCAAAAACCATAACTTTCGTCTTACTTGCGTTCAATTTCATTCCCTTTTCTTTTAATGTCCTGTTCATTGATGTAATCATCACTTGCAACTCGGCTGCCGACGACGCAAGTATGACTTGATCATCGGCGTACAAAAGGCATTTGACGGTTAACTCACCCATTCTTAACCCGCATTCTTCTACTTTCAAAATTTCCAAACAACTGTCCATAAATAGGTTGAACAACCATGGGGAAGCCACACAGCCCTGTCTGACACCTTTATGGATGCCAAACCAGTCCGAGTAGGCCCCGTTGATCCTGACACAAGCACTAGAATCCCTATATAGAGACTTCAATGCCTATATCAGACCAGAGTCAGACTCTAAGTCAGAACACATCGGCACAATTGGCGAGAAATTAGTGCACCTCCCTTCAGGAAGACGTGCATTCTGGTCTTTCGCCAAGGCTGTATAAGGGAACTTCTGTCAGCCATCTCTGCCATCTCTGCACAAGGTGGACGACTCACTGGCCCATGAGGCAAAGGAGAAAGCTGATCTGCTAGGCTCTCTTTTTGCTTCCAACTCGACTAGATGACGGGGGGAATACACCGCCTACGATCCCGCGATGTGAGTGCTCCATGCAGGTAGTGCTGTTTACACAGCGCTCGGTGCGTAAAGCACTACTTTCCCTGGATGTCAATAAGTTGAGTGGGCCTGATGGAGTCCCACCTATTGTGCTGAAAACGTGTGCTCAGGAGTTGGCACCGGTTTTAACGCGTCTTTTCCGGTACTCCTACTCTCTAGGCATAGCCCGTACTCAATGAAGACAGCTTTGGTGCACCCGATCCCTTATAAAGGTGACCGCTCAGATCTGTCCAACTACAGGCCTATCGCTATCATCTCCTTGTTCTCCAAAGTAATGGAAACCATTATTAACGCCAGCTCATGCGGTACCTTGAGGATCACCAGCGGATTAGTAAGTGCCTGTTGATCTTCTAGGTTACCTAACTCATAGGCAGTGGAGTCCAAGGTAGAGGCGTTGGCCGTTTGGTTGGACATAGCGAAGGCCTTCGATCGGGTTTGGCACAAAGCGCTTCTTTCGAAGCGGCCTTCCTATGGGCTTCTCGAGAAGTTGTGCAATTGGATCACTGGGTTTCTTGCAGATCGGAGCATCAAGGTCATAGTAGACGGTGCATGCTCCGATTCCAAGTCTATTAAAGTTGGTATTCCACAAGGCTGCGTGCTACCACCAACGCCGTTTCTTCTGCATATCAATGATATGCTGCAAACCGGTAACATTCATTGCTATGCAGACGACAGCACTAGTGATGCTTTATACACCGGCCGTGCCAATATTTCTCGTGAAAACGTCGCCGAGTACCGGAACAAATGTCTGAAGTCGAGGCTTTGTTGAACAAAGTCTCAGACTGCAGACACAAGTTTGTCTCAATCTCCTCAGTTTTAAGGCACTCCCCTTGTTGCCTTAGCTAGTATCGGAATCCTCGGTGGCAACAGATATGTCTTACTCTACTTGTACTCGATAAAGTGAGGTGCAGTTTCGTGGTCACTTAGAAGAGAAGGCCAAATTGGCCTCTAAAAAGCTTGGTGTGCTCAGCATAGCGGCACAGTATTTCATGCTGTCACACCAGCTGCAACTTTACAAGGTGCAGGTTCGGCTTTACATAGATTACTGTTCCCATCTCTGGACAGAGCTACCCAGTGCCAACTCCTTCCACTTGACTGCATCCAGCGCAGAACGGTTCGAATCGTTGACGACCGAGTTCTTTCCGATCGGCTTGACTCACTGGCACTTGCTACTGGATGTTGCATTTCATTGTGTATTTTATCACATCTATGACGGGGAGTGC